TGAGACTATTGTTAAAATTGAGACATTGAACTTATAAACTATTTTATGTGTACATAGCAACTGCTTCCTGAAGGAAGACTTTTGGAACAATGAGGAGAGGGTGTCATTTGGGGGAAGTTTAAAGCAGTTGTAATCAACTGACATAAATTAGGGAGATTAAAAAAGATAATCATGTATTTTTCAAATGTTGATAAATTTAAAGAATTAGTCTTCTGTATGATGATTTCAAGCATCTGCTCTTCTTAGAGACTAGTCCGTGGTTTTAAACACAAAATGCTTATCAAAATTCAGCAATGTATAATTGTTGTCCTGTAAAAAGGAGCCAGGAAAAAACAATTAATAATAATTTGATATTCATTAATTCATGCTTGATGAGAAGCAGTGGTAATTGAGCCATATGTTTTATTGTTCCTTAATTACATGCTATCAGAGTGGATCAAAAGAAATCATTTTCTTAGAGTTGGGAATTCGTGGCAGAAAAGGATGGATGGAATAGTATCCCTGCCTTTTATGTAAAGTGTATTAACATCTCAATGCATTTGTAGTAATTAAAAATCATTTGAATGCCATTTTTAAAGTAGTCTACTTTATAATGCTTCATTTAAAAAAAAAACCCTAAGAGGAACATATTTCTCACTTTTCTGAAGCTGTTTAATGGACCCTGTCTTCCAGTATAATGTATTCAATTAAGCCAAAAGCTGTTGTAAAAATGGAATAAATACGGAGTGGAGAGAGAAGGGCTTCTGATTCACCTAGTCAGCTTCATCATGTCTGGGCTTATTCACACCATAGGAATGACCGATTCGTAAAACAATTTGGAAGGTCTCTTTATATTGCAGCCAATTAAGAGATGTGCCTGAAAGAGAATGAATCGCTTCATAGGACAATATCCTTCTAAAAAGCAAAATGGCAGAAATATAATAATCTCAGAAATAGAATTTGTTAAAATAGTATCCTTTCTTTTTTAAATAAGGCCAAGAAATAAAACTGTATTCAAGAAGTCATCTGTGCATCCCTAGCTGTTTGATTGCAGTCACTTTTACAACTAGGTTTGACTGGAGAATGGCCAGCTCTCACTGTGGTTCACTCCCCGAGTTGTTTCCTGCAACAGAAAATCTGGAGGGTTTGGCACATTTTCCCGATTCAGAGCTCTACCAAAACAAGGGACTGTTTGGTCTACAACATGGCAAACTGACAATGAAAATTTTTTGGTACTACTGAATTTACTGGTTATTTTGGTACAATGTAAATCAATGGCTTTTAGAGTTTCACCTATTCCATGTTATGCAATAATTCCCAGAGGCACCCATAAATATCTGCATTAATGTGGGCAGGCTATTTCCCTAATGGGCCTATTCCCTGCTATTTCAAATGCAAGGCTTAGATTATTGGCTTTCTAACCTACCCCATTCTTAGATGGCCTCTTTTGCTAGGTGCCTAAGAGCTGTCTGGTGTTTTGTATGTAATTTAGAATTGCATGTTAACTTTATCAGAGTGCAAAATTGGACACCATTCTGAATTTTATTTACTGTGTCTTTGTCCTGCCATTTGAGAGGTATGGTTTCTGAGAGATATTACTGAAATGTTCGAGTGTATGAATTAGGTAATGGTTTCAGGTTTGTACTATGAGAGGAAACTCAACATCATCATTGTGTTATAAATGCCATCTGGGAAAGATGTTTTACTTCTTTGCCTCTGTATTCGTTTTGATACATTCTTCTCATTAATACATTGACATGCCCAATTGTGCCAGGCTCTGTATTTTAAAAAGCCTGGTTTATAATCTACCATCATTCATGCATTCATTCATCTATTATTCAATAACTTAAAAATCTTCATTTAGAACCAATATTCCAGACCTTAGTGCAGATCAATACCAAGGCTCCTGTCCTCATGGAATTTACATTCTAAAGAGAGAGTGGAGGAGGAGTTTGAAAGACAGAAAACCAACACAACAATTTCTGAAAGTAATAAGACCCATGAAGAAAATAAAATACAGTGGTTAGGCGAAGGGGGAGTTTAAAATAATGTGGTGAACAATAATGGACAAAACCAGACCATTTTCTGGACTAACCTTGTCCTTGCTTCTTTAAAAAAAAAAAAAAATGAGATGGAAGTTCAAAGATGCCAGGAGACAGAGACCAGTGAAAGTATTTTCTCTATTCCTCATGCAAGACAATATTCAGATATCTCTTAGATAGCTTTCAACTCCCTGCCCTCGGGCGAGTTACATCAAATGGCTGCTTCCTCCTGGACCTCAGACTCAAGTCACCCACTTGGCTGCAGGAGCCCCAGGCATGCTCTGCTGACTGCCTCAGAGCTGGATCTGAACCAGCCCCAATCTGGAGTGGAATAAGCAGGCGGGTCTGGTTTCCTCACCTCTTTTAAGGCGTTAAGAATCAAGTCCCTTTCTGTTTTCCAAATAGAAACATTAGAAGATTGGGCAGCATCATTTCAGATGAGGAGAAACTTCTCCCAGGAATTTTATATAAACATTACATTGTTCTCTTGTTGCAATATGACTAATGTATCTGGTGAAAAGGAACACTCAGATCTTGGTATAACTTTTCTGATAGTTACAATTTATTAATTTTACATTCTTTCCCAAGAGAAAAGAAAGTTCATGAGTCTCAAGAGCCCTTCTGGCCCACAAAGGCAAATTGGATTCAAAGTCCCCCACAGGACAGTGTTTAGGCCCTAAGGCAACTGCAATGTTGGTGTGGTTTCGGAATAGAAAGACTGCCAGGGGGCTGGAATTAGTGAACATGGAGAGATGAGGTTGAAGAAGCAGGCAGGAGACAGGTCATGGCAGTGTCCTTCATAATGGATCGTTAAAAATCTACATCATCAAATAATGTTGGCATTTAGTAGAATTTATACCTTTTATATTTGTATCATTAAAATGTCATTGAATATTTTTAATTTCATGAACAGTTTACATTATGTTGAGACAAATATAGTCTACTGATTATGAGACGCACAAAGGCAATGCAATGGAGAAAATATAGTCTTCAACACATGCAAAAATTGTGCTAAAACAACTTGATACCTGTATGCCAAAAAAAAAAAAAATATTTTTAATTTCATGAACAGTTTACATTATGTTGAGACAAATATAGTCTACTGATTATGAGACGCACAAAGGCAATGCAATGGAGAAAATATAGTCTTCAACACATGCAAAAATTGTGCTAGAACAATTTGATACCTGTATGCCAAAAAAAAAGAAAATAAAATAAAAGAAAAAGTAAAGAACAGAAAATAAAAAAGGAAAAGAAAAGAAAGCTGACATAGACCTTATATCCATCTTTAAAAAAATTAACAATTATCTCAAGATGGATTGCATTTAAATGTATAATATACAACTATAAAATTTCTAGAAGAAAACATAGAAGAAAATCAATATGGCCTTGAGCTTGATAAATAATTTTTAGATACAACACAGAAAGCACAATCTATAAAAGAAAAAATGAAAAGTTCTTTATTAAATTTAAAAAACTGTGCTCTGTGAAAGACAATGTTAAGAGAATAAAAAGGTAGCCACATACTGTGAGAAAATATTTGCAAAACACATATCTTATAAAGAACTTATCCCCCATATATGAATAACTTAACAGTAAACAATAAGAAAACAAAAAACATTAAAAAAGGGCAAAATATATTAAAGACACATAAGCAAAGATCTATAAATGGCAAATAGGCATATGAAAGATGCTCAACATCATTTGTAAATAACAATGAAATAACGACATTATGTTTATTAAAATGACTGAAAACTAAAAACTGAGAATATCAATTGCTGGCCAGGATTCAGAGAAACAGGAACCCTCCTGCATTGCTAGTGGGAATGCAAGAGGGTACAGCCACTTTGGAAGACAGTTGGACAGTTTCTGACAAACCTAAACATAGTCTTACCACAGGATTCAGCCATTTTGCTCCTAGGTATTTACCCAGTGAATTTGAAAACATGTCTATTCGAAAAGCTGAATGTTTATATCAGTTTTATTTATAATCATCAAAACTGTAAGAAACCAAGATGTCCTTCAAGAAACAAATGTCTCAACAAGCAGTACATTCATGTAATGGAGTAATATCCAGCAATAAAAAAGAATGACCTATGAAATCTGCAGAAACATGGATACTTCTTAAATGTATATTGTTAAATGAATAAAGCCAATCTGAAAAGGGGCTCTATGTGTATTATTCCACTTATATGACATGCTGGAAAGGCAAAGCCTACACATTCATACAGACAAGTGACTGCTGAGG